GCTATCTCATGTTTAATGTCAACAGGGAGGGGATGGACATGGCTCTCAGGAGAGGGGCTGACTCCCAAGTGCAGTTAGTTTCTGGGATTTACCACCCTGCCAAGAAAGAGGGGGGCCCCATTTTCCATATGCTCAATGAAGATTAAGAAGGGTCTGTTTAACTGGAAAACTGAAATACTAGCCCACTCTTCGTTATCGCAATAATTCGGAACAGGTTCTATCCCCTTGTCATCGAAGGTCAGTGTGGCCTTACTTATCACCTGTAGGAAGGGAAACAGAGGCCTGTCAGAAGGGGGAGACACCTACTGCAGACTAGAGTAAGGTCTCATTTGGAACTCAGAAAAGAAGAACCTCCAATGGTTTGTGTCCATCCTTTGTGGTACTATTGTTCTGCCCTCGGAAGTCCATGGTAGTGACCCAAAGCCCCTCTTCCATTCTCTCTAGGCTTTGCCTGCTTTGGCCCATTCCCTACCATGTTCCCTTCCTGACTCCATCTCTCATGGCCTTGGATACAACTCACACCTTCACGGTGGGAGGACCATTTGGATTTCATGTCCTTTGCACAAGGGTTGCTGTTCCAATTTGTAGCTCTGAGCTCTCTGCAGACAGGGTTCCTGAAGATGACTTTGAGTGTGCAGACTTCCAGGGTAATTAGCTGATCTGAACTGCCTTCAATTTCCCTTAATCATTGGCATCTTGGAGAACAATTTAGACCTCCTGACTTTGTTATTGATGGGCTGCTCCAAGTGTCACAGATGGAAATGTCTAGGCTAAAGTCTCAGGTCACTGAGCCCAAGCCTCTCTGTATGAATATGGGCAAACTGAGCCCCAGCAACTCAATGGTCCTGAGCAACAGTGAAACTCATGTTCAGGAAAGCTGTTCAGGGGAGCTGCTTACATTATCAGCAGCACAAGAGTCTCCCTGTTGCAGCTTTGACCTCTGACCCATCCTCCAGTTAAATCACAAAGGTCCCCCAGAGAGGACCAGCTTCACCTTGATATGCACCCTTTACCCTCCCCTTAGCCTGTTATCTGAGCTACACCTCTACCTATTTGACTCAAACAGACACTGGAAAGGCACTGTGAGGTGACCTCACCTTGAAGGACTTACGAAGTGTGTCATCTTTGACCACTGAACTGCTGGCTTCATTGTTGAAAACATAGTTGATTCCTAGTAGGTTCAACACTGACTCCAGGTCATGGGTCTCAGATATTGAGAATTCCGGTATGTGTACATTGACCATCCTGGTGTGCAAGAAAAGAAGGTTTTCTTTACTGTGGAAGAACCAATGCCTTTGTCCCAGGAGCCCCTGGGGTGGCACTTAATCTGAGAATCCCTTCAGGCATACTCAGGTTGTTCCCATGGAACCATGTTTCACTATGCCCTACAGTATTTGGTCACCCCTCTTACTCAGCCAGGGATACCCCCAAGACATGACTCTGAAGAGTGTGGGAGTCAGTGTAGCTGAGGACAACTGCTCACTGGTGAGGCCAGGCAGCAGAGTGGCATCTTTGCCTGCAGTTTACCTCAGGCCTGGCTGAGCATGGGTTTGCTTGGAGAGCATGGGCTCACAGATTGGTGTGACATGTCTCTGGGCACACAGTAAACCCCAGGCAAGAGAGACAGAAGAATAGATTGCCTAGCAGTCATGCCCTGGCCTCTCTTTTCTTGTCTGAGGTTTCTATACAGATTCTTCCCTGTCCTCCTAACAATCCCATGGACTGCCCACCTTGACCTCTTACCCTTAATGTGGCCAGATCCTGAGAGCCATCTTCATCTGCTTGGCTCAGCCATAATTTACATGACAGATGTAGACCCTGCCCTAGGCTCTGCATATTGAGGAGGGAGTGTGTCCATACTGGAGTGTGTCCTTTCCCCAAGGTCAATGGGTTTACCTCTTTATTTTGAATGCTGTTTCTGTCAATGAGCCTGGCCTACATTATGGAAATGAGCACCAAGTCTGCCTGAGAGCTGCTATGTTGCTATGTCCTCAACTCTGGCCAGGCCACTAGGGTCTCTGTCATTTACTGATTAGAGCTTGGGTGGCTCTGGGTAGTTCCTGGGACTGGGGATCACCTTAGGCTGTTATATTGCTTCATCCGGCGGAAGTGTGGATAGCTCAGCCTCTCTTCTGCCATGTGCATCTTCCCTTCATCAGGTAAGATGAAGTAGAACATGGCTTGCATTTTGGAGTGTCCATATACAAGCACCGTGCTAAACAGATCCTCGTATTGGAATAGCTCATATACATCCACGCTAAAGATGGTCGGAACCTTGCTGGGCATCTCATTTGTTGGCTGGAAGTACTCCATTTTGACAACCCGACAGTTAAAGTTGCTGACAAGTTTGGCTGGAGAGAATGAAGAGGGATGTCAGATACAGGTAGGTCTAGTTCTGTGGGAGAGTAACAGAGGAAAGGAGCGTGGAGACTCCTCTTGGGACCCCAGTTTCATAAGATAAAAGCAGAATAAGAATTGACATAATATGGAACGAGCGCTTTGTGAGTGTCACTTTAATGTGGGGAGTGTGTGGAGACTTTGGGTGTGTTTTGACAATTTCCAAAGGTAAAGCGCCTTAGAAAAAATGTTTACTATTATGTTTGTTGGATGCTAAATGGTAACAAATGCAAGTAATCCCAGGTCCCTAAGTCACAGCTACACACCTTTCTTTTAGAGGTTCCCTGTTTTTGATAGACAATGGTTTAGTCAATAATCTAACAAAGTTTTATGGTACCTTGGGCCCTTACCTTAGCCTGAGATACAGTGCAGATGCTTGTGGGCAGATAGTAAGTAGCCTCCCTAAAAATGTACAGGAACCTGACTATCATGGCTATTTGAGTAGGTAAGGGACTTGGAAAAATATCCTCAAGGTCATCAGAATAAGTACAACCTTAAAAGCTCCTGACCCCATGTTACCGCTTGGGTACTGGGGCACAGAGCTCCAATCTCAGTCCTACCGAAGCCTGGGATCCATTGGTTCAGCCCCAGATGCTGCACCAAGGTGCAACCAGTCTCCCTAGCTAAACTGACCAAACCACAGGGCTCCCTGCCTCTTCAAGAGGGCTGTATCCAGCTAACACAGTGTAGGAGCAGCAGCATCAGAAGTCCACCAAATTCAAAGCAGGTAACACAGCAGCAGGGTAGCCCTCTCCAGGACTTTTCCTGGTGAGAGGAGAGCCCCAGTGAATACCAATGACCACAGTTATGGATCACACAGGTCCATAAGGTTCAGGTGAGTTATGGTAATTCCTGAGAAGCACCAGCTATTTGGTGACCATACCCAAAAAGTTGAGGAAGCTTCCTTTGGGAACACACATCTTCCTGCCAAGGGGATTCTCCCCATCCCAGGATTCCAAGAGCTATCAGAAACTAAGAGCCAACACCTGAGACAGCCAGACAGGTAGAGGCCAGCATAAAAGCACAACCAACAAAAGCCGAAGAAATATGGCATCCTTAGAACCCAGTTATCCACGAGAAAGTAGCCCTGGACACCCTCTCATAATTGAAATTCCGGAAGATGACCTTACATCCATGCTTATTAAGAGGTTAATGGAGGAAATAAATAAAATGTAAAGAGAATTAGAGGAAGATAAAATCAAAGAGATTGTGGCCATGCCCATACAGGAAGATGCAGCCAAACAGTTTGTGGCCTTCAGAGAGGAAATAATTAAGTCAGTGAAAGAAGTAAAAGAAACAGAGGAATGTTCAGACAAACAGGTGAAGGAATTGAAGGAAATCGGGAAAATGCAGTAAGACACGTGAAGGAAATCAACAAAATGGTTCAAGATCAGAAGTTAGAATTGGAAAAACTGAAGACAACACAAACGGAGGAAATCACGAGAAGAATAACTTAGGGAAGAAAACAGCAACTACAGAGGTAAGCATATCCAACAGACTACAAGAGATGGAAGAAAGAATCTCAGGTGTGGAAGGTACAATGGAAGCAATCGAAGTATCTGTCAAAGAAAATGTTAAATACAAAAAATTCCTAACAGAAAACACCCAAGAAATCTAAGACAACATGAAAAGTCAAAACTTAAGAATAATAGGAATAGAGGAAAAAGAAGATTCTCTCCTCCAAGGGCCAAAAAATATTTTCAACAAAATCATAGAAGAAAATATCCCCAACTTAAAGGAGAGGCCTATGAGCATACAAGAGGCGAACTGAACAACTAATAAATTAGACCAGAAAAGATAGTCCTCCTGCCATATAATGATCAAAAGAGTAAGTGTACAGAACAAAGAAAAAATACTAAAATTTGCAAGGGGAAAAGGCCAAGTAATGTATAATGGCAAACCCATTAGAATCACACCTGACTTCTCAGCAGAGACTATGAAAGCCAGAAGGGCCTGGACAGACATCTTGCAGACCCATGTTCTCATTAGAGAAGAGGGGGTGATGGGGATGGAAAGGTAATGACGCTATGGTGTGAGGGCTGTGCTCTGCAAGACTTTGCCCTGGGGAGAGGGAGCTCAGGTGAAGGGGGCAGGCCTTAGGTTTGACTCCTTCCCCAGGCTGTATATTCCCTGGGGGAACAGCTGCTCCTCTCAGGGTCCTGACCTAACCAGTTCCAAGCAGGAGGTCATGCTTGGGGTCAGAGTAATTTGATGAAGTGCCTGTGCTTCACAAAGTTCCATGCACTCTGTAACCTCACTTCTTCCATGGCCTCACAGCACTGGGCTAGCTTTGTTGTAAAATGGTTATTCACAAACAAATAAAGTGGCTTGCCCTGTGTAGACAGGTAAGGGATGACAGAGGCCACATTTGGTGTTAATGGTTTCAGGCTCCAAAGTGATCTCCTTCTATAGCGCTTACTGTGTCTAATTACAATCCATGGAAACTGCCTTTCTTATGTTCTCATGCTATAATTTTTTTGGAAATCACACATATTCTCCTGCTTTACTCAAAAAGATTTCAGAAGAGCATTTCTGTAGAGGATGGTCTGTCAAGCCCAGTTATGAGCTTATTTTAAGCTGTCATCCTCCAATCTCATCAACTGTAGGTAACTGTTATACTGCTTATTGGTGGAAGACTAAAGATGACACATACATGCTGTCCTCCTCCATTTTGGGGTGCCAAGGAGACAGAACATTGGAATGAGTATCTGGATAAATCCCCTGGAGCCAGCTGAGCCAAGTGATATCACCCTTACCATTAAGCTCAATGTAGTTCACCAGGGCAAGGAATGTATCATTCTTCAGATTCTTGACGACATCTACTATGTCCTTGTTAGTTTCCTTCATATAATTGATGATTTGTGTTTTGGCCGCCCTGCTGTCTGTGAGGTCGATGGGGATGACATCAGTGTGGTATAGGTCCTTGGCTCCTCTCACAAATTTGTCTACCTTGTTCAGGCCCTTGTCGATGAACATGCTGCTACCACCTCTTAGTTGGGCTTGTGCTGTACGCGGCTTGAC